AATATCAGTATAATTAGCATATATCTTTCCTTTGGCCTTTCAAAGGAGTATTGCCATCACTAAATTTAAATTCCAGTGGTGAAACCACAGAGGGTGGAATCCTAGCAACTAATTATAAAATAACTCATTTTTTTGCTTATTCTGGGAGTTGACCACAGCATAGGATTGGCACAGGTCCTAAACGTGAGATATAATGCATCTGACCTGACCACACTTGCACCCACCCTGTCTGTTGGAGGCATTCTTGAACATTCTCTTTAGTAATGTATTATTTTATTTTATGTTTTATTTTAAAGACAGGGTTTCACTTTTTCACCCAGGCTGGAGAGCAGTGGCAAGATCTCAGCTCATCTCAGCCTCGACCTCCTGGGCTCAAGTGATCCTCCCACCTCAGTTCCACAAGTAGCTGGGACTACAGTTGTGCACCACCACACCCAGCTAATTTTTGTATTTTTTGTAGGGACATGATTTCACCATGTTGCCCAGGCTGGTCTTGAACTCCTGGACTCAAGTGATCCACCAGCTTTGGCCTCCCAAAGTGCTGGGATTACAGGTGTGAGTCACCGCATCAGGCCCTTAGTAATTTACAGGGACAGACTTTTCAACAAGCTGGATGATTGATTTGTTTCCTTCAAGAAAAACTTACATTTCCATCCAAAAAGATGGAGAAGTGTGTGTGTGTGTGTGTGTGTGTGTGTGTGTGTGTGTGTGTGTGTAAACTATATGGGGAAATGTTGAAACCTCCCTATTCTCACTAGAAAGCTTTGATAGATAAACAAGTCAGAAAATATGAAAAGACCTTTATTTTCAGTTATGGAAAGTATTGCAAAAAAGAGAAATTGATAGAGTTGAAGGAGTCATGACGGTGCAATTTCCTGGTTCTGGAAGCCAAGGCAAGGCCAAGCTGAGTCCCCAGCAGAAGGCCTTGACAATGACTTTCTGTCAAGAAATTCAAGCTTCAAGACATTAAGGGCCGATAAGAACCAGAGCATGTAGTGTTGGAAGCTATGCTGCTTTCTAACAAAGATATGAAGCTTACAGTGCTACAAAGGGGATTACTGAAACGGTCTTATTTGGATCAATAATTTCTAAGAGCTTGCCCTTCCCAGGCCCTTCTCCAGTACAAGAAATGATGTGTTCCCACAAAATAACTTGAATTCAATTCCTGGATAAGCCAGATCTTTAGATTATGGGACCACATTGCTTTGACATCTAGTATCTTGTTTTCCAAATAAGTGTTCTTAACACTTAAAAATATGTTAGTATGGTTGAAGTAATTATGAAACACATTACATATTGCAGTTCTCATTTGAGATTCCCGTGTAAAATAAGCCTCCAAAGAATCCTGCAGTAAAAATGCATGTTTAACACTGTTAACTACAGTGTTCTCAAAACACAATTAGGCAAAGAATGCTTAGTGCCACGTATCTTTGCCACATTATGAGGGATGTGAGTTTGAGAAACATGGATAATTATGTCAATTATAGGCTTTCAGCCACTAATAATAGAAAACTCAAAAGAAAATAGTTTAACCTAATAGATCTTTATTTTTTAATTTTTTATTTTTATTTTTTGAGATGGAGTCTTGCTCTGTTGCCAGGCTGGAGCACAGTGGTGAAGTCTTGGCTCACTGCAACCTCTGCCTCCTGGGTTCAAGCGATTCTTCCGCCTCAGCCTCCCGAGTAGCTGGGACTACAGGCGCGTGCCAAACGCCCGGCTAATTTTTGTATTTTTAGTAGAGACGGGGTTTCACCACATTCGCCAGGATGGGCTCAATCTCTTGACCTCGCGATCCAATCGCCTCAGCTTCCCAAAGTGCTGGGATTACAGGCGTGAGCCACCGCGCCTGGCAGATCTCTGTTTTTATCATATACTGAAAAGTCAAGAAGGAGTCGACTGCTCTTACTGCTCCAGTGACTTCTGTGGGTCAATAATGTCAGGGCCAGCAGCTCCAACATTCCCTTGTCCCTGAGGATAAGGTGAGGAGGTATAAGGTTGTCAGCAGCATTTCTGCTTTTCATCAAGGAATCAAATGTCTTTCAGAAGCCACCCATCCCTTAGTCCAACTGAGCTGGAATACTCTCATAGTGGAGGCAGGAAAGGGAGAATGACCTTGGCTATGACTGGTGAATTGGGCAAACCACAGTGCCCTTAGCAATGGTAGAATTACCTTTAGGGACTTGTATTGTGTTTTTATACTTTTAGCTTCCACCAGAAGACATGGTTAGAACCAGTTACATGAAATCTACTGCTTTTATAGTGAAGAACTTTTGGTTTATGTTGTTGTTGTCCAAAATAAAAGAATAGCTGTAATAAGACCCACATAAGAAACTCTTCTCAGACACAATACTACCTTCCTCCTCCCATGCTCATTCCAGTGACAATGTTAACACCCATAAAATGCTTTTGATTCTACCTCAGCCCTGGAAGCCACATTCTTGGTGTTGGATGGTTCTCTACAAGGTCCTGCAATATTCTCAACATGTACTCAGGAACTGGGCAAGGTTCTTCTCACTGCTCTAAAATCTAGAGATTGATCTCTCCTTATTTGCTTCTGAGCCTTTTCTGTTCTTTTAAAGCTATTTTCCCCGATAGACTAAATTATTTGCAAACAAAAGCCCCAGAGGAAAGTTTCGAGTTTTTCCTCCCGTTTTGAGTAAAATAATATATTTCCTTTGGTGCAAAGAAGCACAGTCTTCTGATAGAAAAGGGAAAAATATAGGCAGAAATAATAAATTAGTATCACAAAGACTGCTCAGCCCCAATGTTTATTCAGTAAACTCTTTAATCATAAATTAAGATATTTGGTATCTAATGTCTGTCTCTCCTCACAGATTATAAGCTCTATAGTGTGGACAAACACTGTTTACGGACTATTCTGTCACTCACATATTGCCAAATTCTCTCTCTTCAAGCCACACCCACCTTCATCGTCTTCACTCTGAGCAGAAGACTGGCTGCAGTCTTAGTGAAGGAGAAACTGATTAGACCTCCATCTCACATCACTCTTATCGTCCACCTTCTTTTTCTTCACTTTTGTTCATGAGAAGAAAAATATCCTTCCTTCCTCTACCCGAGGCTGACCCCTCCATTTTGTGCTTGTGGTCTTGTTACCTTTTCTGGCTTTTTCTTATTTATTGATTGATTTTGAGAAAGAGTTTGCTCTTGTTGCCCAGACTGGAGTGCGATCTTAGCTCACTTCAACCTCCACCAGCCAGGTTCAAGCAATTCTCCTGCCTCAGCCTCCTGAGTAGCCGGGATTACAGTTGCCCAGCTAATTAAACCTTGTCTCTACTAAAAGAACAAAAATTAACCACAAGCAGCTAATTTTTGTGCTTTTACTAGAGACAGAATTTCACCATGTCAGCCAGGCTGGTCTCAACTCCTGACCTCAGGTGATCCACCCGCCTCGGCCTCCCAAAGTGCTGTGATTATAGGCGTGAGCCACTGCACCTGGCCCTTTTTCTTTTTTACAGACAGGGTCTTGCTCTGTCATTGGAATGGAGTGGAGTGGTGCAATCATAGGTTACTAAATGCTCAAACTCCCGGGCTCAAGCAATTTTTCCACCTAAGCCTCCCTAGCTAAGACTATAGGTGTGTACCACCATGCTGAGTTAACTGTTTTATTTTTGTAAAAATGGATCTTGCTATGTTGCCCCGGCTGGTCCTAAATTCTAGGCTCAAGTGATCCTCCCACCCAGGCTCCTAAAGTGCTAGAATTACAGGTGTGAGCCACCACACCCGCCGTCCAGCGTTTTCTGTCATCAATCATCTTGCCCCCTTATGTACTTCAACAGCTGCTTCCATGTAGACCCCTCCCTATCTCTTTGTCCACAAAGATTTTAAAGTCCAGCCCACCCTAAAACATTTTTAAAGCATTCTTCAAACTATGCTTCTCTTTCTCTTCTCCCAGGTTTCCTGAAAGAATAATCTATTCTTGTGGCCTCTACTTTCACATTTTCGTAATCACTTGCAAACGCACCATTTAAGTGAAATTGTTGTATTTAATGATCACTTATCAGTTCTCTTCCTCTTGGAAGCCAGTTAGATAAAGTTAATTCAGATGAGGCTCATTGCTCCCTTAGCTTATGACTTTGCACTGCCCCGTCTCCTTCTGGCTTTTCCTCCCATCTTAATTATGCTCAAGCTAGGAGAACCAGTTAAACCGTCATTGCAATAATATAGATTGGGGTTAACAAACTAAATGTCCCTTTGTTTTTGTAAATTAAGTTTTACTGGAACATCCTTTGTTTGCATATTGTCTATGGTTGCTTTTGTGCTCCAGCCACAGAGTTGGGTAGTGACAGGGTCTAGCATGCAAAGCCTGTAATGTTTAATAACTGGCTCTTTATAGAAAAAATCTGCTGACCCCTTTCTAGATGATCTAGACAATCTAGAGCTAGATGAAAGACTGTCTACTAGCAGGAATCAAGAGCGGATTACTGTAAGATACATTAAGGAGATATAACTGATAGAAGTTAACAACAAATTGGAAAGGGCACTGTAAGGAAAGAAAAACCTTTTAATGGCATCTAGAGATTTCCAGTTGATGTGTGGTGAGTAGTACAGTGTTAACCAAAGAAGGTAACATGGAGCAGGAAGTTTGGGTGAGGAGGTGATGCTGAAAGGGAGAATATGATCATGATTTTACTTAGAACTATTTTATATCTGTAGTTACTTATATTGTGTCTAAACCTCAGAACCCAGGAATAAGATCTGGACTAAGGGTAAAAATTTGGAAATGTGTATGTGTCAGAATAAGAAAATATGGAACCTCAAAGGGAAGTGCTTATAATCTAAAAGTTCCAACACATACCAATTTCTCCTTCCTAGATTCAATTAATTGTCAAGTTCTGCACACCATTTCTCTCTCATCACACTTCAGACCCTTTACCTGGTCATTTTATCATGTACAGTTGATACTTGTTATTCCCATGGATCAACAGTTATTTCATATCTGTGAATTTACCTACACGCCAACATTTATTGGAGCTTCAAAATCAGTATGTATGGTTCTTTAATGGTCATTTGTAGACATATTCAGAGTGATTAAAAAATTTGGATCACCAGACACGACTCATTCTGAGGTTGAGCAAGAGATGACATTCTGCCTTCTTGTTTCGGCTCTTATACTATAAAACAAATTCTCTTCCTGGGGCAATTTAGTGTCCTTTTGATTTTTTTCACACTTTGATGCTTTTAGTTAGTGATTTCACTATTTTAAATGACCCCAAAGTATAGTACTGAAGTTTCACAAAGTATTCCTATGCACATGAGGCTGTGCTGTGACTTTCAGCAGCCTCATTGTCTGGGGTAAATACCAAGGTTCTTGATCTCATGGCCAAGGAAAATGAGGTTGCGGACACACACACACACACACACACACTGAGATTGGAGCAGGAGTTCAATAGGCAACAGGAAAGAACAGGTCTCTGTCACAGAGAGGGGTCCCAAGGGAGTTGCCAGGTTGTAGTAAAAACGCCAGGGTTTTTAGTTGATGATGGGCTAGTGAGGAGTGAGAATCTTACCTCCCTGGGGCCTGAAGTTTCAGCTGGGACCAGGTGTGCTATCTGCATAGAGCAGAGTTTTATCAGCCATTACCCAGTTCCCTCATCACATAGGCAGACTTTTAGTCTGTGTTGCTCTGTGCTGCTTTGAGGAAGAGTTTCTGTGTCTGTTCCCAGACAATTTCTTGCAGCTGCAGACATTCCCCTGCAACGTCCGCTTCTAGCTTCCCTATCTTCATGTGCCTAAAGGAAAAGGAATGTGCTTATTAAGGCCCACTGTTTTTACTGGGGCCCACTGAATGAGTTGAAAGTTTAGTGATTACCCAGGAGATTCATTCCTTCTGTGCCCGAGTTGTTACCTGCTTTTTTTACAGCCTGATCTTCTTATCTGTCCAGGTGCAGCCTGAGTTTTTCCCAAGGTGATTTTATTTTTTGCCTGTTGCTGTGTGGCTTTTCAGGCAGGCTGCTCCTGCAGTCTGAATTTTTCCAATGATTTTTCCTTTCTTTCTCTCTCATTCCCCACTTCAGGAGAGGAAATCCTAACTGCTGTTAGGAAGATTGGGCATTGATCTTTCTGGCTACTTCCTGCTGGAGAGGGGAACTGTGTGAGGAACAGCAGCTAGGATTCCTGCAGGGGCTGGTTTAAGGGTCCTCAGATGAAAGGTACGTTTATGCATGATTCCATTTGCACTACCACTTGGAGTTTTATAGCCTCTAGGCAAAAAGAAATAATTTGGGTTATTAGGGGACATGTATTAAAACAAGACAAGGAGGGGGCAAGCTTAAAAATCTCAAGGCTGCTGACACTCTCTGATAACCAGTGGCTATAGTTATACCTGTTAAGATTTGGGTGTATGGGGCTTGGCTTTGTTTTCTTGATTTTATCCTTCCAAAGAGATTTTTGGGTTATGAGCACCTTGTGTATTCCTATTACCCAGCAGCGTGTGCAGGATAATTGCTTAGAACTAGCATATTGATCCAGATTTTTACATTACCCATTCCTTTTTGTCTCCTTTGAGACATAGCTGGAGATTGGTGGTTGGCTCACAGGAATAAGCATGGTTAGTTTACAATGTAGGCAAAAACTTAAAGACAACTAATGAGACTAGAAGTTAATAATTGATTCATGATAAGTTTGGAACATATTTTTCCTCTTCCAGTCCTTATTTCTCCTAAAAACAAATTATGATAGGACTGAGTTGTTTACAAAATAGACTAGTTTTAAACTTGGTTTGATTATTTGCATAAAGTGCCACAAGAATAACTATTTTTACATAGGCTTTTTTAACTCTGTTACCCAGGCTAGAGTACAGTGGCGCAATCCCGGCTCACTGCAACCTCTGCCTCCCAGGTTCTAGTGACTCTCCTGCCTCAGCCTCCCAAGTAGCTGGGATTAGAGGCACACCACCATGCTCAGCTAATTTTGTAGTTTTAATAGAGATGGGGTTTCACCATGTTAGCCAGGCTGATCTCAAACTCCAACCTCAGGTGATTCGCCTGCCTCAGACTCTCAAAGTGCTGGGATTACAGGCGTGAGCCACTGTGCCCAACCACATAGGCCTTTTAGATTGACTTTGATGGAATTTTATTCCACGTGGAATCTTCGGTAAGACTTTCTAAAGCCCAACCCAGCCATGGATTTGTACCTTCAAATACCTGTGAATTGGGTACACTTCTTTCTTCTTGAGGTTCCAAGAACATGGGGTTCCTAGGCCTATTAGAAAGTGACATTTTTACTCACCGCAGGTTAGGAACCCTGTATGAAGATGGTGTAGCCAAGAATGAGGCCAGTTTCCAAGGGGCTTTTACTGGCTCTGCAAGTCAAGCTTGACTCCTTAAAGAGAAACACACCCTTCCAGTCAAAGACTTGGTAAAACAATCAGTTTTTCTAATTGTGTCCAGTTGCAAAATAAAATGGATTCTTATTGCACTGATGCAAACTATATTGTTATAAATTAAGAATACTTAAAAACAGTTTTTGAATTTTAGAGGAACCAGGCAGAGAAAAACAAACATGCTCAAAACGTTTACAGGAGTCTACTTTACTTAGTTGTTAGAGGCTGTAGCTAGCTCAAGACAAGTTTTCTTGACTTTGAAAAATAAAATAAGAATCAGTAATGTTCCAAGCATAAATCAAGAATGTTGCTTTAGTTTTCTATTAGTTCAGTCCACTCAATTAACTCTTGTTCTACTTGATATTTGTAAACATTTCAGCTTTTTATGAGTTCTGTTCCTTTTTTTGTTATCAGAAACCTGTATTTAAGAGCACCTGTTAAAGTTTCACAGCTGATTATAAAGTTTTTTTTGTAAGAAGAAGATGAAAACAAGACAACCGTCTGTAAATGACAAAATGTCCAGGATAGTTATAGTCAAGAACGTGATTGACAAATTTAGTTATTTCCATAGCTTACCATAACCCAACATAACAACCTTAATTGTGACTAATAGCACATATTCAGACATTACAACCTTAGACATCCCATACAGTTTTGAAACATATATTGATTTTATTCCATAAAATATAATCTGAAGGGTATTAAGCATCATTCTGGCAATTCCACATCCCTAAACATGTTAAATAATTCTATTTACCTCTGTTCCAGACGGTCCAGGGGTTCTTGGCAGCACCCAAAAGCCAGGAGTCAGGAAAGACAACCTTGAATCTAAAGTTTGATTTAGGAAAGACTGTTAAATATGTTCGAAATTTAAAACACTTAATATTAAACAATAGAATTTTAGATTACCATAAGTTATTCGTTTTGCCAAAATCATGAGTCAAAAATTTGAAAAAGCAAAATAATTCATCATCCTTTTCTATTAAAGGAAAATCCTGTTCAAGAGAGAACGTTCAATTTCACCCTTTCCTTAGTTTGCTATTAATGTTAACCCTAATTTTAAATGAAACCTTATAGACAATCCTACTTAATCTTAGCCAGTTTGACCATGGGGTGAGATTTTTACATACCTGTTATAACCCTTGACAAGTTTTGCTAAAGAGTGGATTGGCATCTTAAGAAAGCCTTGTTGTGCTTTTATTTCAGTGTTTAGTTTACAGAAAAAACCATACAATACCCTTTTGAATTTAGTTAATATGCTCACACACAGTTTGCTTTGCAAGATCAATTTTTATAAATTTTTACAATTTGCTTAAACCTTCTGCTTTAAAACAATCCTTTATTTCTGGGCAAAATATACATTTACATGCCTTCTTTTAATCTTTAACTAAAAGCATCGTTTACTGTTTGTTTGTTTGTTTGTTTTTAACACATCTTGTATGCCAATCCATGTTCAGTAGTCTTGATTACATGTCCTAAAGGTAACTCTTAGCTATTTTTAACTTTAATGTAAAACCTGGTAGGTTGTTTTAATTATGTACTAGATGTGGATAAAGCTTTATTTCTTTAGCATAGTTAGGGGCATGGCTACTTCCATATGTTCCCAGGCCTTATCAATTGTGAAGCAGGCAAATTGACAGTTTTCAAAGGCTAAAGAAGCAGTTTACAATCTTTTTTTTTTTTAATCGCACTTTAGGTTCTGGGGTACATGTGCAAAACATACAGGATTGTTGCATAGGTACATACATGGCAAGGTGGTTTGCTACCTCCATACCCCCGTCACCTATATTTGGCATTTCTCCCCATGTTATCCCTACCCAACCTCATTACCCCGAGCTGTCCATCCCCAATTCCCCACCAACAAACCCTAGTGTGTGATGCTTCCCTCCCTGGGTCCATCAGTTCTCATTGTTCAACACCCGCCTATGAGTGAGAACATGTGGTGTATGTTTTTCTGTTCTTGTATCAGTTTGCTGAGAATGATGGTTTCCAGATTCATCCATATCCCTATAAAGAATACAAGCTCATCGTTTTTTTATGGCTGCATAGTATTTCCATGGTGTATATGTGCCATATTTTCCTTGTCCAGTCTATCATCGATGGGCATTTGGGTTGGTTCCAGGTATTTGCTACTGTAAACACTGCTGCAATGAACATATGTGCGCGTGTCTTTATAATAGAACAATTTATAATCCTTTGGATATATACCCATTAATGGGATTGCTGGGTCAAATGTTATTTCTATTTCTAGGTCCTTGAGGAATCACCACACTGTCTTCCGTAATGGTTGAACTAATTTACACTCCCACCAACAGTGTAAAAGTGTTCCTATTTCTCCACATCCTCTCCAGCATCTGCTATCTTTTAATGATCACCATTCTAACTGATTTTTTTAATGATCGCCATTCTAAGTGGCATGAGATAGTATCTCAATGTTGTTTTGGTTTGCATTTCTCTGATGACCAGTGATGATGAACATTTTTTCACGTTTGTTGACTTCATAAATGTGTTCTTTTGTAAAGTGTCTGTTCATGTCCTTTACCCACTTTTGAATGGGTTTATTTGTTTCCTGTAAATCTGTTTTAGTTCTTTGTAGATTCTGGATATTAGCCCTTTGTCAGATGGGTAGATTGCAAAAATTTTTTCCCATTCTGTTGCTTGCCGGTTGACTCTAATGATTGTTTCTTTTGCTGTACAGAAGCTCTGGAGTTTAATTAGATCCCATTTATCTATTTTGGCTTTTGTTGCCATTGCTTTTGGTGTTTTAGTCATGAAGTCCTTGCTTATGCCTATATCCTGAATGGTTTTCCCTAGGTTTTCTTCTAGGGTTTTTATGGTGTTAGGTCTTATGTTTAAGTCTTTAATCCATCTGGAGTTAATTTTAGTGTAAGGTGTCAGGAAGGGGTCCAGTTTCTGCTTTCTGCACATGGCTAGCCATTTTTGTCAACACCATTTATTAAACAGGGAATCCTTTCCCCATTGTTTATTTTTTTCAGGTTTGTCAAAGATGAGATGGTTGTAGATGTGTGGCGTAGCCTCCAAGGCCTCTGTTCTGTTCCATTGGTCTGTATCTCTGTTTTGTTACCAGTACCATGCTGTTTTGATTACTGTAGCCTTGTAGCATAGTTTGAAGTGGGGTAGTGTGATGCCTCCAGCTTTGTTCTTTTTACTTAGAATTGACTTGGCTATGTGGGCTCTCTTTTGGTTCCATATGAAGTTTAAGGTGGTTTTTTCCAGTTCTGTGAAGAGGGCCATAGATAGCTTGATGGGGATAGCATTGAATCTATAAATTACTTTGGGCAGTATGGCCATTTTCACAATACTGATTCTTCCTAACCATGAGCATGGAATGTTTTTCCATCTGTTTGTGTCCTCTCTTATTTCATCGAGCAGTGGTTTGCAGTTCTCTTTGAAAGGGTCCTTTACATACTTTCTTAGTTGTATTCTTGGGTATTTTATTCTCTTTGTAGCAATTGTGAATGGCAGTTCGTTCTTGATTTGGCTCTCTTTAAGTCTGTTATTGGTGTATAGGAATGCTTGCAATTTATGCACAATGCTTTTGTATTCTGAGACTTTGCATATCAGTTTCAGGAGATTTTGGGCTGAGACGATGGGGTCTTCTAAATATACAATAATGTCATTTGCAAATAGAGACAGTTTGACTTCCTCCTTTCCTAATTGAATATCCTTTATTTCTTTTTCTTGCCTGATTGCTCTGGCTAGAACTTCCAATACTATATTGAATAGGAGTGGTGAGAGAGGGCTTCCTTGTCTAGTGCCAGATTTCAAAGGGAATGCTTCCAGTTTTTGCCCATTCAGTATGATATTGGCTGTGGGTTTGTCGTAAATAGCTCTTATTATTTTTGAGATATGTTCCGTCGATATATAGTTTATTGGGAATTTTTAGCATAAAGGGCTGTTGAATTTTGTTGAAGGCCTTCTCTGCATCTATTGCGATAATCATGTGGTTTTTCTCTTTGGTTCTGTTTGTGTGGTGGATTACGTTTATAGACTTGCATATGTTCAACCAGCCTTGCATCCCCAGGATGAAGCCTACATGATCGTGATGGATAAGCTTTTTGATGAGCTGTTGCAATTGGTTTGCCAGTATTTTATTGAGGAGTTTTGCATCTATGTTCATCATGGGTATTGGCCTGAAGTTTTCTTTTCTTGTTGAGTCTCTGCTGGGTTTTGGTATCAGGATGATGTTGGTCTCAAAATGATTTGGGAAGGATTCTCTCTTTTTGGATTGTTTGGAATAGTTTCAGAAGGCATGGTAGCAGCTCCTTTTTGTATATCTGGTAGAATTTGGCTGTGAAACCATCTGGACCTGGGCATTTTTGGTTGGTAGGCTATTAATTGCTGCGTCAACTTCAGACCTTGTTATTGGTCTATTCAGGGTTTCAACTTCTTCCTGGTTTAGGCTTGGGAGCGTCTAAGTGTCCAGGAATTTATCCATTTCTTCCAGGTTTACTGGTTTGTGTGCATAGAGCTGTTTGTAGTAATCTCTGATGGTAGTTTGTATTTCTGTGGAATCAGTGGTGATATCCCCTTTATTGTTTTTTATTGCATCTATTTGATTCTTCTCTCTTTTCTTTTTTATTAATCTGGCTAGCAGTCTGTCTATTTTGTTGTTATTTTCAAAATACCAGTTCCTGTATTTATTGATTTTTTTGAAGGATTTTTTTGTGTCTCTATTTCATTTAGTTCTGCTCTGATCTTAGTTATTTCTTGTCTCCTGCTAGCTTTTTAGTTTTTTGATTTGCTCCTCTAGCTTTTTCAATTTTGATGATAGGGTGTCGATTTTAGATGTTTCCTTGCTTCTCATGTGGGCGTTTATTCCTGTAAATTTTCCTCTAGAAGCTGCTTTAAATGTATCCCATAGATTCTGATACATTGTGTCTTCATTCTCTTTGGGTTCAAAGTACATTTTTATTTCTGCCTTCATTTCATTGTTTATCCAGTCAAAATTCAAGAACCAGTTGTTCAGTTTCCATGAAGTTGTGTGTTTCTGAGTTAGTTTCTTAATGCTGAGTTCTAATTTGATTGCACTGTGGTTTGAGAGAGTGTTTGTTATGATTTCTGTCCTTTTGCATTTGCTGTGGGGTGATTTACTTCTATTTATGTAGTCAATTTTAGAGTAGATGTGATGTGGTGCTGAAAATAATGTATATTCTGTGGATTTGGGGTGGAGAGTTCTGTATATGTCTATTAGGTTTGCTTGGTCCAGATCTCAGTTCAAGTCCTGGATATCCTTGTTAATTTTCTGTCTCATTGATCTGTCTAATATTGACAGTGAAGTGTTAAAGTCTCCCACTATTATTGTGTGGAAGTCTAAGTCTCTTTGTAGGTCATTAAGAACTTGCTTTATGTATGTGGGTGCTCCTGTATTGGGTGCATATATATTTAGGATCATTAGCTCTTCTTGTTGCATTGATCCTTTTACCATTATGTAATGCCCTTTTTTGTCTCTTTTGATCTTTCTTGGTTTAAGGTCTATTTTATCAGAGACTAGGATTACAACTCCTGCTTCCTTTTGCTCTCCAGTTTTTGGTAAATCTTCCTCCATCCCTTTATTTTGAGCCTATGTGTATCCTTGCATGTGAGATGGGTTTCCCAGATACAGCACACTGACTGTTTTTTACTTTTTATCCAATTTGCCTTTCCGTGTCTTTTGATTGGGGCATTTAGCCCATTTACTTTTAAGGTTAATATTGTTATGTGTGAATTTGATCCTACCATTTTGATGCTAGCTGGTTGTTTTGCCCATTAGTTGATGCAGTTTCTCCATTGTGTCAATGCTCTTTAACATTTGGTATGTTTTTGGAGTGGCTGGTACTGGTTGTTCCTTTCCATGTTTAGTGCTTCTTTCAGGAGCTCTTGTAAGGCAGGCCTGGTGGTGATGAAATCTCTCAGCAATTGCTTGTTCGTAAATGATTTTATTTCTCCTTCGCTTATGAAGCTTAGTTTGGCTGGATATCAAATTCTGCGTTACAACTTCTTTTCTTTAAGGATGTTGAATATTGTCCCCACTGTCTTCTGGCTTGTAGGGTTTCTTCTGAGAGATCTGCTGTGAGTCTGATGGGCTTCCCTTTGTGGGTAACCTGACCTTTCTCTCTGGCTGCTCTTAGCATTTTTTCCTTCATTTCAACCCTGGTGAATCTGATGATTATGTGCCTTGGGTTGCTCTTCTTGAGGAATATCTTTGTGGCATTCTCTGTATTTCCTGGCCTTGAATATTGGCCCGCCTTGCTAAGTTGAGAAGTTCTCCTGCGTAATAGCCCGAAGAGTGTTTTCCAGCTTGGATTTATTCTCTGTCACATTCAGGTACACCTATCATATGTAGATTAGCTCTTTTCACATAATCCCATATTTCTTGGGGGCTTTGTTCATTTCTTTTTACTCTTTTTTTCTAATCTTGCCTCCTTGTTTTATTTCATTGAGTTGATCTTCAGTCTCTGATATCCTTCCTTCTTCTTGGTCAATTTGGCTATTAAATCTTGTGTATGCTTCATGACGTTCTTGTGCTGTGTTTTTCAGCTCCATTAAGTCATTTATATTCTTCTCTAAGCTGTTTGTTCTCATTAGCATTTCCTCAAACCTTTTTTCAAGGTTCTTAGTTTTTTTGCATTGGATTAGAACATGTTCTTTTAGCTCAGAGAAGTTTGTCATTACCCACCTTCTGAAGCCTGTTTCTGTCAATTTATCAGACTCATTCTCCATCCAGCTTTGTTCCTTGCTGGTGATGAGTTGTGATCCCTTGGAGGAGGAGACCATTCCGGTTTTTGGTGTTTTCATTCTTTTTGCACTGGTTTCTTCCCATCTTTGTGGATTTATCGACCTGTGGTCTTTGTATCTCTTGACTTTCAGATAGAGTCTCTGAGTGGATGTGCTTTTTGTTGATAATGAAGTTATTTCCTTCTGTTTTTTAGTTTTCCTTCTAACAGGCCACTCTGCTGT